CAGCCCCGACATACAATGTACGTTAAAACATCAAATCATGTGAGAGGGAGAAAAGTAGCAACAGTCAGTGTAATACTGGAATTTATGTAACCTAACATTGTGCAACATTTCTGTTAAGAAAAAAAAAAAACAACTCCCAGAAGTCTAGGGTACAGTTTCATAATCATTTCAGCTAATTCAGTGTTTCACACCACCTGAAGTGAGCAGCTTTGCTCTTCTCTTGTCTCCAACACCTCCCAATCATGCTATCATGACCCTGACAGACTTTTCCAAGATCCAATACAGCTCAGCAACTAGGAGGAAGATTGACTGATTGATTATTTTTTTCTTCCAAGTTTCCTGCTGCCTTTAGAAGCTGTAACAGCTCATCACGGGGGCTGATGAAGCAGAGTTTGGATAGGGTAAACAGTGAGAGCAAGTGGCCAGAAGAAACAAGAGAGACAAGGGTCTTGGGACAGTGCTAAGCACAATCAGCTCCCTGTTTCTTGAAAACAAGGCTTAAGTGTGGACAAGCAAGGCCCATTTACCAGAAAGTATTTTTAACGGTAGAAGTTTTCTTCCTATTTCTCACTGTTTGAAAACCTTACTTAGCTTTTCCATAACTTTCTGTGAGCCTGCTTATTGATATCTATTGTTCCTGGTTATCACCTTCAATACAGATACTTTGCCACAGACTTTTAAGCAGAAGTCCTAACTTTGTAATAAAGTTGTCCAAGAACACTAGAGTATCTTCCATAAAAACAAGAAACCCAAACCTAAAGATTTTTAAATACTGCACAGTTTTGAGTTGTGCTGTCTGTGTATGATCTCCTCTAAAAAACAGATCATCTCCTTTAGTTCACGAAAGAAATATGGGTTGTTACAAACTGTAGTTAGTATATAACTACAAAAAGTTACCATAAAAACCCAGAAACTTTCGTTAGCTATTTTGGTTATTTGTGTTTGTGAGGAAGTTAGATGATCTGTGTAGATACTATAATATGAGTAACAGAACAGGTATGTGGAAAGTTACTCTTGAGCTTAGTCAGTTTAAAAGAATTTGAGATCAACAACAGTGGTGATCCTTTATTATCTTTTTAATTCATAGTGTTCCATGATAACTTACTATTGTTCCAATCCTCTGGAACTTTGTTAGTAGCCCAAGGTTTACACAAATATTTGTGTATCAGTGAGATTTCACAGAGGACTTTCCACTGGTTTAGAAGACCTTCAGTGTAGTTATTTTATACTATTGAGTACTGCAGTAAAATTTGTTACTCCTGAGCAATACAAAACCTGTTCTGTAAGAAAGAATTCATCACAATTTCTTTCTATACCATAAAACTCAGCGCAATAGTTTTTTCTGGGGATTTTTTTTTATAATAGAGATTTAAAAAAAAAACAAAAAACTTTTCTTACTAAAAGCAAAGGTTTCCCTTTAATCATCTTTTTTGATTTTTTCTTTATACTCACTTGTCACACAGATTTGGATCCGATGACTGACTTAATTTATGTAGAATATCTACTATTCCCATGTCTCGTAGTTTATCTTGGCGTTCTTGTGAACCTACAACAATAAATCACATTGTTAGGAACACCACCAAAAATAGATGTCTGCAGAACAGAAGAAAGGAGTGGTTGTAGAAATCAGCTTAAAAGAGGGGTATGGAACACAGTTCAGTTAGAACACAGCAATGGAAAAACTACTCCAAGTGCAGCTACTTCCCAAAGGAGCTCTAGTTTCTTTTTTTGTACTCTGGGTGCATATGTTGAAAGAAAAGAAAATGTTGAAGGCAAAAACCTGAACACATTTTATTCTAAAGTCAGAAGCCTGACTTTAGTTGGTTTCTCATCTCTCTGATTTTGATGAAGAGAACATTTAACTGGAGATGTGTTTTTGAGCCTGCCTTGTAGCACTGTATAATGCCAGTATAATGAGCAGAAAGCAGAAATGCCAGTATAATGACCAGGAGCATAGCTGTTATCTGTCAAGTGTCACACACTGAATAAAGTTCTGTGATCTGAGAGATGTGGAATAAGGTACATAGCTGGGAAGGAAGTGGGGGGAAAAAAACAAACCAAAACTAAGCAGACACACTGATTTCTTTGCTGAAGAGAAGCACTGTCAACTTGGGGGTCTCTAAATCATCTACCCAAAAGTCCTCCTCAGAACACACCATCTCCCACCACTCCTTCCCTTGTCCTTTCTTCCAGCTCCTCACTGCTGCCTCCACCTGCCCTCTCCATCCCTCAACACAAACACATGCATTTTTCTCTGCAGCAGCACCCTTCAGCTCCCTCCTGGTTATTTTCCATTGTCGCAGGCCATGACTCTTTTTATCAAATGCCTTGCCCATTCTTTCCAGTTCCACCCACAAGTCTTTTGACTGGTTTCAGAGTCTCACGACCCAACCCATTCAAGCCATCCATACTGGGGAAAATTTCTTTGCAACAAACCCCACACTGATCTCTCCAGTGAGTCTGTTCCCTCCAACAATTAGTTTTCACAACCTTCTTGAGACTTGGAAGCTCTCACTTCACTCCAACTGTTTACAGATTTTACAGAAATGCTACAGGCAGAAACCTTCCACCATGTGACTCTCATGAACTCTTACTTATTGACACTGTCTTCTTGTGCCTCCCCCTTCCTGCCCCAGAACAGCTCTCTACACTTTCCTCAGTGTCTTCCTGACCACTCTCACTTACTCTGTATTACACCTATAATGATGTTTCCTTTTATGCTTTGGATCCCACCGTGTTGTGCGCTGCAAATAGTGATCACTATGCAATATTAACTTGTATAATGCATTAATAATGAGGCTTTCTTACCTTCTTCTTCATTCCATATGAGATTAGATATACAGAACATGGCAGCAAGCTGAAGTTTAGCATTTGAATGACTCTAAATATAGAAAAATAGTACTTAAATTTAGAAGAGATTCAGAAATTCTCAGAGTTACATTTAGCATTAACCCTGTAATAAATAAGGTAGCTAAGTAAAAATTCCTCTCAAAGATAGTGCCATTAACATAAGTCTCTTTGGTAGCTTTCAGTCATGTCCTTCCAAATATTTATTGAGGTCTAAAAGATATGCCTTATCCAAGATCATGATGCATTTTCCAGGCATGTTACAGGCACTGCTTAAGTCACTGTAACATTGTTATGGGAAATAAGCACTGAATTTTCCTTTTAATCAGATCCTGACAGTACAGTTCTGCCATACAGAACTGCACTACATGATTTCTTAAACAAAACTTGGTATATGAAATTTAAGTGCATGATACTGAATAATTTACACAATAAAATGCTAAAATACACTCTTTTCATTCCTGTAAAAGATCAACATAAAACCTTTAAAAGAAATTTCCCATACCATGTAGTATTTGATTTTCTGAAGGATGTCATCATTGGTCATAATCAGTTCTTTTGCTGTTGTCCCATCTGCTATATTGGCAAGTATACATAATGTCTAAAAGACAGAAAAACTGTTATTTGGCCACAGATCACAATCCCATGATTTATACAGTTTCCCTGACAGCTTTGAATTTGTGACAAACAATTTCTTTAATTAGTTTTAATATCTTTAATCTGGAGTTTTCAGCTTGCTTACATCTGGGGCCAATGCCAGAGTTAACAGCTGTGGATGAACAGCCCTGGCAAAAAACCCAGTCCTTGCCATTTTAAAATAAAAAGCAATATTCATTAAAGTTTCACTCACTGAAATGAATTCTCTCGTGGAAATAAGCAGCATATAGAAAACATTAAATATACTGGAAAATTAAGCAGTCTATTCTGTATCAGTGGCTAGGAAAAAAAAACCAACCCAAAACAACCAAACTAACATTTCCATCTAGTTCTTCGGGCTAGAAAAAGGAATAGCAGAGACCTATTTGCTGATCTAGCAGAGTAATAATTTGTTGTCAACAAGTCTAATCACACATTTTGCCTGCAGAGATAATTCAGACTACTAATGCATCTGGTTATTTCTTGCAAATCAGAGAAGCCATCCTACAGAACAACCTTAAAGCATGTTGGAACTACATGCACATGGCATTAAGACTTGCACAGGCAGCTTTGCTGGTTCTCAGGAGGCGCTTGGGAGATGCTCTAAAAATTCTTTCCCAAAGAGCTGTGGAAGAACTTAACCATCTTTTATGGACATACAGGGGTCACTTCAGAGGACACCAGAGAATGATCAGCACTTGTATGACGCCTGTGTGTGCACCACATTCCTGTCAGCAGTTGCAGAGATTTATTATTTCCAAGTTGCTAACTATACACTGATGAACCAGTCAGACAGTAAGTACTGTCCTGCTAGAAGCATGGTCTCTCGTGTGCAGACAGGCAGCACTGCATGGATGACCTGATTCTGAAATAAAAGCAAGCTGCTGATCAAACCACAGGGACAAAGAAAATGTTCTGTGCATAAAGGCCCCAAACCCTAAAGGCTATATTCAACCCTAGCCTACTAGCTCTTTCTGAGAGTGTTTCTTAGGTACACTGATTCTCCTCCAAAATAATTCTGAGAGGCTTGGCAAGGTAAATAACCTCCTAGTGCAATGAAGGCCATTCCTGCAACTAGAGCTTTACCAGGAAGAACTATTTAGAAAGACACAACTGGTTAATCCTCAGTTGTTTCAGAACCATAGTATCACTAACCTTGCTATCTATCAAGAGTCTCATTTATTTGCTAATTTTGCAGTTAAATAGCCATAAAAGGCCTGTCTGCCTCCAGCCTATTCTTCACCAAGCAGAGATTTAAACCAGTCTGGATTTAGCTGTATTTTTACAATCAGTTGCTGTGCTGTTTGCTAGCAATATCCATCCTAAGCCAAAGCAATCCTCCGGAATCTCCCACAGCTTCTCACTGTCCCCATTCTTCATCACCACATGCTTTGTGTAAGGAAGAAACAGGGTTCTCCAACTGTCTTGTCTGTCACAAGAGTTAATCGGCCAAACTCTGCCCATTCGTACTCTTACTTTTGCTTAAGCACTCCCAAGCCCCATTATGCAGCCACCAAGCCGGGGATGCTTTTCCCTACTCCCCTTCCTCTTGCATATTGCTTTTCTTAAAGTTTTATTTTTTGTAGGCATGTCCTTCCCCACTTTTCCTGGGCTACACCAGCATGCTCTTTTCCCTGCTAGTGCCTCCCCTCTCATTGCTGCTGGCTCCTGCAGGCACCCAAGAGCAGTTGAGTTACCCAGTCTCCCAGCAGATCACATATGACTGCCAGCAAGGCAGGTGATGATGGTATTCTTCATTACTGTCTGCTCCTATGGCTGCTGTAGGAGCAAATAAACATAATGCTTTCCCCAGCGTGAAATACTGGCTTCTTTCTCGTCCCTTGTTCTTACTGTCACCTGTCTGCTACTGCACTTGCCTTAAATTTAATTCTTTTGCTCTCAGATATAGTGCCCTCCTCTTTACCAAACCTACATTTAAAAAAAATATTCTGAATTCAATTCAAACACATTTGTAATAATCCATAAAACCCCTCAACATTCTTGTAGGTAAGGTTATTAATTTGACAGATAGCAGGTAAAATATTCACATCATAATCCCAAACAAAAACGACATGCTGAGAAAAATAAGCATTCTCAGACATTTCTTATATTTTATTCTACCAAGGCACCATGAAATGAAAAAGAGTACCTGCTCTTTGACTTCTATATTGTGCTCCCCTTCCAGAATCAGGGTCACTGCTTGCATGATTTGCTTCCCATGAGTGCTCATTATATGGTCTATGTGCTGCCAAAGCAATGATGAAACACAATCAGTGTTACTTTCCAAAGAAGAGGCATTCCTACTTCAATTACTTTAAGTAAAGAGTAGCAACATTGCACAGAGGCCCTAGTTCATAGTGAGGTCTCCCAAAACCAAGAACTTATTACAGCAGAAACACTTCATAATATTCCTCTTCATTTGAAGCCTGGTCTTGTTTGAGAAAGCATGATATGGGCCTTGGTTCTGATTTCACTGTAACCTGTAGAAAAGACACTGGTTTCCCAGCTGCATGGAGGCCAGTCTGTAGACTAAATCCTGCTGGACTCAAGCTCTAAGTATGATGCTGCAGTTAGAAGGAACCACTTCTCTTCTGATAACAGGGGGATATCAGAGAAGGTTAAGAAAACTGTTGTTTTTTATCTCCTACTCTTACTGGAAACCTATGACCAGGTCCGATATCCACATTTCAAAAGCCTGAGAGGGTTCAGAGAAATAAGTCACATACATTACTTATCATCTACGAAAACTTTCTTAAGTCAAGAGACTTACAGGTAAGAGGTAATTTGATCACAGACTATGAACGCCTATACTAGAATAAAACTGATCATTAAGAGTAACAGAAAAAGATAAAACTACATCTACTGGATTAACAGATACCAAGAGTGACAGCAAACAGCCACCAGAGATTGCCAGCACGTGGCACACTACACTTTTTTAAGACATTAGGGATTCTTGTAGGACTTCTTAAAATTGCTAATAATGAGACTTCATTTGAAAGCTGGATGAGTTATTCTGGAGTGAGTTTTGGGTAGAGAATGAGAATGGTTGGTTTTGGCTCTAACACATACTATAGAAAGTAGGTGAAGCTGGTACATAGTTTCAGATGAAGAAAACCTTCAGTGATAATGAGACTCTGCTGTCAAGAGCTCATGGTGAATTTAATGAATGACTGGTTATTAAATATCCTTTCACATTAAGACAGAGCTAATTTTCTATGAAGCTTATTGAGACTCAACGAGTACAAATATCAGAAGATTTTTTGCAGTGACCTTTTTATGGTAGAAACACAATACGTGATAAATGCACAGTAGAGGCTTCGTGGTTTTTTTCCCCCACAAAAATGTTGGCTTGCCAAATGTTTGCTGCATGTTTTCCCTCTGTTCTTCACAGGGGATTACCCCTTTCTTTTCCTCCACCAATATCTCTTTCTCCCTGTCAAAAACAATTCATGGGCTTACATTTTCAAACCATTTTATTTCAGTGTGTAAAATGAACGTATGTACTTTGTAAGTGCACAGTCCCACAGTCAAATTCAAAAAGCCAGTACTATCGACATAGTTGGATAAGAACGGAAATATATCAGGTGTCAAGAAAGAAGAAACACAGGTACCCTTAAGATACGTACCTCTCCATACACTGATCCAACAGTGCAACTCTGTTGTTCTGGACAAGTTTCACAAAGACTGTTAGGAAAATTATTTTGCTGAAAGCTAAATGCAATGGAGTTGAACATTAAATGTAACCGTATAGCTCCATACTTGATAATTATAGAGTTTTGAGTGGATGTAGAGAATTTTTTCCAATATTTTCTTACACTGATTTGTACATTGGGTTAGAGACACTTGGATAAATCCAAAAGCCTCTGTTTTAGCAATTTAACTAATATTAAACATAAAAATAATTTGTCTTACAAAAAAGCATTGTAACATCTGAATGCTTTATCAGCTTTCAGAAGAATGTGTGTTTGCAGCTCTACTTACTGGGCGAGTAGATAGAAGATTCCTGAGCAGTCCCAAAGTTTTCATCAGAACATTTACATCAGAATCAGAAAGCAACTGGAATAACTGCTCTGTACTCAGACCTCGTAAGATGTCTGATTTGATCTTCTGTTCTGCTTGAAACGCCATATTCTGAAAGAGAGAATTTGGTTTTGCTTGACTTTTTTAACTCAAACTTGGGCTTTCACTCTTGGAGCAGACTATTACTTGCAAGGATATATCCTGCCTAAATGAATCTTGTAAAGGTTCTAATTTATGAGGAACTGCTACACAGTGAATTGAATTTCCACACAGTGTTACAGCTGACCTGGTTATTTTACCTGCTTTTATTTGCCCTCTGGCATGCTACTGACACTACGTAAGACACTAAACTGTTTCCCTGGATAATCTGGGCAACCAAACTTGTATCTGAACCAAAAAGCTTATTTTATTTTATCGACTAACTGATGAAGTATTCCGAGCTGATACTATTCTCCTGTAGTTAGGTGGAAATACAAACCAGATTTCAGCTATGTTATTTTTAATAACTGATGAGTTAAGTTACATTCACAAACTTTTTGAAAATTAAAATCAGAAATGGTATTTCATCAGTGTGTTCTACTCACCATTAAAGCCCAAATGCCATTTACTCGCAAGGCAAGGTTTTCACTCTGTGTTAAACTACATAGAAGTTCTATGGCTCCTGATTCTAAAATAGGCTAAAATGAAGAGGAGAAAGAAAAACAAAGAAACAAAACTTTAAACCACTACTTAGACTAATTATGCATCTATACAAACATAAATATATATATAAAAAGGTCTTGCTTACATCTCATTCTTGAATTTACATCATGTTCAGTTTACTCACATGAACTGGCCAAGCCATACCCTATATTCATGAGCATTAAAAAGGTAGGTTCTTTGGAAGAAACTCAGGTCAAGACAGCTTTATTTTCATTGTGTATCCATGTATGTGTACACATATAACTACACAGCCATATATATGTGTGTGTACATATGCATACACACACACACATACTGCTGCAATATTATACACACACATCTGCTACACTCACACAAGCAAAAAGGTGTTCCCCAAAAGCTTTTGGCTTGGGACTGCTCTCCAGAAAGAGTCTTCCTTGAGTAATCACATCTTTTTTGGGTATCAAATGGGATATAAGTAACTGTTTAAGAGATTAAGGACAATGAAAGCTACTTGATATCTTTCTTGACATTTAATCTTTGCATTTTGTAATCAGACCAAATTAAAATCCAACAGAAAACTTCAGCTTAATAAACAGAAGTGGAGACTGTTCTTGATCAGACTGAAATGCATAACCTTGTAGTACTACATCTTTAAATGACAGGAAAAATATCTGAAATACTAGTTTTATCTAAGACCTGATGAGGTCATGTGTTAAAAGGATTCATCCAATGACTTACGCTGCTCTAGTCTGTAAGGTGTTCCTTTCTTCCAGAAGTTACTGCTTCTAAAGCAGTGAATAACAACGTATCTGAGGTTTTGGGAAGTTGTGGGGGTTTTTAACCCATTTAAGAGCTGAATTCATCAAAGAACAGGAATGTGTGGAAAAGGCTGCACTTTGGAGGAACAGGCTCCTCTCACTGAATAGCAGGAAGATGTAACAGAACCAGGCGGCAGCAGTTTGTGCCAAAGTTCTTCTGGTCCCTGGTGCTTGCGCACTGCAATAAGCTGACAAGTGATTTTGCCATGGCCCCAGTAGCTGGCTGGCCTCTAGGGACTTCTCCAGAGGCACAGCAGGTGGGAGACATTCCAAAACAGGATTTCACTCAACTCTTTTTCAGCTTAAAATCCAGATGCACTTCAGCTTTGTTTACTTACTTAAGTGACTGGTAGTTTACATACAATTTTCAAAATACTAGGTAGAAAAAAAAGGTGATATATCAAAGATTAGGTGGTTTACAGATGCTTTCACATCTAACATTTTTAAATACTCCTTCATTTTACATAACCAGTATTTTCTTTTGGCAATGATGGTTTTGACATGAACCACATACTCCAATAGAAAATACATTATTTCAATCCATTTTGAAGTGGAAACACTAAGCTAACTCTGACCTGCAGTATGAACTGCAGAAAGCCATAGGCCACTGAACTGTGCTTGGCATTATTTCAGTTAATTTTCTATCTCACAGACATGACTAAAGCCACCGAGATCAATTATAAAACCCATGTCATCCCAAATGCCTTGTAGGAGCCCACATATACCCCAACCTCACAAGTTTTCTGTAATTAAGAAATATTTAAGACTTGAAACTGTTCCATTGCCATGAAGTATCGATATGTATGATCTGCATGAAATACAGACATCGCAGAACTTGAGAACAGATCCTGTATTGTTCATTCAAGAACAATAAAACCCACAGGACTCAGCTATGCCAGCATTTAAGATTACAGCAGTAATTTTCTAAGACAATGAACGGATCATAGTGCCAGTGATCAATTTGTTGTCTTCTTGCATCTAAGATTTTAGATAATACTGTTTTACAAGTCAAAACCTCCACGATTTCATGTCTACTTCTTTGAGACTACATTTAACTATTCAACCATGGTTAACTGTCACAACACTTTAAACACAGGGTTTTATTCACAGGCTATCAGTGGTACACTCTGCCTAACCTTACAGCCCTGTAACACTCCACAAGCAGTGGCTACCAATTAAAATACATTATATACTGGTTCAATAAACATAAAGGTAACTTTTGTCTATTACTACCTTCTTGTTTCTGGATAAATACTAACCTCCTTGCTTGGAGAGAATTCCAGAAGAAGATTGCATAGCGTGGAAGATGCTACTACGAGAATTTCATTTGGAGCATTCTGTAAAACCTGCAGTCACAAATGGGAGAGTGAGGAATCTCTGTTAACTGGTAGGATAAAGAAGGAATAATTTTCAAATGGAATACTAGTAAGCATGCTGCACTTTGATATTCCATGCTTTAGGAGACACTTTGATGCTAGTATTGCAGATCCAGACAGTGCTCATTCAACTCAGTGTGATGATACACATTACATGACGAGCTGGAGCAATGCAAATTATTTCATAGAGGCCAGATTTGAGAGCTTTCAGGCCAAATTTAAGAGAAATCACTCTGCAAAGCATGTATGTGCTGGCAGTTGTCATTTAGCTCTGCAGCCATTATCTCAGCAGAGAGCAGGCTGTGTCCTGCAGCGCGCCTCCGTGCCACTGTTTACAGAAAAGCAGAGGAAGCTTCAGAAGGAGCCTCCTCAACACTTCTGCACCTTGTGCAAAGCACAACAGGCCAGATCTCCTCATGACCATCCTTTCAGAAAAACAAAGTCTGGAACAAGTTACACTCTCTTATCTGTGCCCAGATCTCCGACAGGACCAATACATGCCATTCTTAAACAGAGCATCTCCCTTGCATGTTCCAAGAAAGTTCAGTGAGGAAATAGGCATGTGAGATAAAACTGCTTCTCCACAGTCTGCTGCTGCTTGGCTTTTGTTAATTTACGACTCCTAATTAGGCGATCAGGGGATTTTGACTTCTAGGTAATTTCTATTAGGATTCTGCAGAAAGGCATGCAAATTGAACAGACACCATATCATCCTTTGATGGAATGGAACACTTAGTATTTGAGCCTTCACTTTTCTTTACTAACCTTCATTAAAGGTTTCCATACAGCATGATCCTGAAAACTTGTCCTGAGCTGCTGTACGGAACGGGACAAACTGTGCAAACATCTGTAAAGGAAAAGAAATCTTCATTGTGAAACATACATACTCATATGCACAGTACTGTAACATTGCTTCTACACAAAGATTCAGCTTAGAATTTGAAAGGTAGTAGACTGTAAATAGCAAGAAGGAAATATTTTACTAGTCCAGGATAATTCCCTCCCTCCTCCACTGAATGTACCAGCAGTAGAAATAATTTCATATTAGCTATTGAAATATTAGCAGAACTTCTAACAAGCGCAGCATCAGACTTTGGCAAGACAGAAGTATCTGTATGAATGAGGAAAAACTTCCTACCTGACTGCAGCTAATCGCACCTTGATACTAGATTCAGACAAGCCATTAACAATACGATCCATCATATTTTCGGTCTCAATGATCTGGAGCAAAAAGGAATGAACGGTATATGAACAAAGTAATATGAACATTTATGGTTTGTTAGGTTTTTTTGCCTGCAACATTTGAAATACTGTGTATAAAAACTGTAGCTGAAACCAGCAAGCCATGTTCTCTTCCCAGACTAGGTGGAAAGCAGAATGTATCTGCACGCAATTTAGGAAAAAAAAAAAAAAAAAAAACCAAAAACCAAAAAAAACCTACATTTTATGCCCCACTACTGCTTTCAAAATAATTTTATTAATCATCAAGGAAAAAGAGGGGGGTGTATATATATACACATATATATGTAAAAATTTCTCTTAATGTCATACTAAAACAAGAGAGAGCAAGCATGAGTGAACACAATATACATAAATTACAGAGTAGAGACATCTTGTAGAGCTATCTGGAAAAAAATACATGGTAGTTCATCTGCCACATTTAGACATGGCCAGCACAAGCACTTAAGACTAGGATAACATGGAATTAATACCAAGATGAAAGATGGCTTTTGTATAATCAACTGTGTCATGTACACACCCCTACCACTTATTAAAAACCATGCTTTGATATGCAAAAGAAGGATTCCTTACTATTACATAAAGAAGTTAATCCTGCAACAAAACAGAAGTTTATGGGTTTGAATTCTGGAGATCCTGAATGCTCCCCCACTGATGAATCTTCCTGTGAGTTATCTTTCAACACTGTTTTTCTGCCTCCTTCCTGTCCATACCTTTCTTCCTTCTGTTTTTTCCCTTTAATCAGCAAATAAACTCAGGAAATTCTCCTGCCTCCTGCCCTTGCCATGCTTAATATAGTAACTCCATGCTTAATTCTAAAATAAATTTTGCTTTTAATTATTCACTGTTTAATTTCCCTCCACTTTCCACACAAATTTTTAACTATATGAGTGCTTCAATCATCCAGTCTCTTCACTGTGATGTCTGACTACAGCTTGCTTTCCTTCACACCAACTGCTTTGTTACGACACTGCAAGCCCCTTTGGTTGCTTCAGAGTCATGGAACAAATTCTGATTTTTTTTCCCCCAATACCATTAAGACTTTCCAGGGGTTATTTAAAAACAAAACCAACAAAAACCAGCCAACCCCACAAACAAACAAATAAAAAACCCAGAAAACCCCCAATGTTTCTCTTATAATAGGATACATGACAACAGAGGTATATTCTGTCCCTCAGACCACAGGTTTGAAAAGTTACTCATATGCCACAATATTCCTTACAAGTAGCAAGGACCGTAACATGTTGAAAGACAACTTACTGTTCATCCCTATGAATAGGTTTACATAAATAACCTTTACTTTTATATTTTGTGATGCCAAGACATTAATTTTTGTTCAAATCCCATGCAAAGAAAGTGCAATCTGGAGGTTTCTATTAATACCACAGAAAGACATCCTTTTCATTTCAACCTATCTACATCACAGTGAAGAAAACAAAGAGCTGGAAGGGCACAAATTCTTCCAGCTACATCTTTGCCTGATTGCTAACGCTTTTCAGAGGTTCACCTTTTTTCTGATATCTTCATCATTTGCTCCCAGGGAAGCATAGAGCTTGAAAGCAGCCTGGCGCAGTTCATGGGCGTGCTTCAAATCATGGTCAAGCTATTTAAACAAAGCACAGATAGCAAATTTAGACACTAAAAATTTACACGTGTGATGCTCTTATATGTTGTAAGTTAATGCTTAGCTACTGGGCTTTTGTCTACCACACCAAGGGCAGCCAGAAACATAAATGAACTGATGTTCCATTAGCTGATGTCCACATTTACCAATTGAATACAGTAACTGAAGAATATAGATAATTTCTCTGCTGAGTTATAGATAAGTCAACTTAAACAATTTGAGGCCAAAACACTTCTATAAAATGATGACTCTGTCCGGATCATATTCAGGCAAAATCTATTCATTTTTACCCAAGAGAAAGAAGGCAGAAGTGAAAAAACTGGGAGAGAATCAGAGGAATTTTTATCAAGAGAACTGTGTTCAAGGCCAGGTTGGACGGGGCTTTGAGCAACCTGGTCTAGTGGAAAGTGTCCCTGCCCGTGGCAGGGGAGTTGGAATTATATCAGCTTTAAGGTCCCTTCTAACCCAAACCATTCCAAAAGCAGCCAAAAGCAACCAAAGCAAGTCTTCTAAATCACATGACTTCTTTCTTGAGGTGGATGTTAACTTCTGACTTCTGCTGCAAAGATGATAGTAGGATACAAGCTATCTAGGAGGTTTCTGGAAGGCAACTTCTTAACAGGTGCCAGAAGAGTGAATTAGGGTGATGTACCACTAGAGAAGCTGCTCAGGAAAAACTGCTTGTGGGTATGATAATTAATGGGAGCACTAGCTATAGGGATCACACAATAGTGTGAGTTCCTGAGAGGCATGAGAAAGGCACCTTTCTCAAGGAGCTCTCAAGAGTAGCTCTCCAATATCTACAAAGAGAACACAGAGCCCAACTCCTTATGGAGGTGCACAACAAGAGGAAAGAATAGTCAAATAAAACCAGGAAAGGTCAATATAAAGGTCAAGTCAAATAAAAACAGCTTGGAGAGCAATCTCAGGGGTTTTCAAGAGCCAACTGGACAAAGCCTTGAGTAACTTCAATCTAAGCTCACCACTGACCCTACTTTAAAAGGAAAACTAAGAATTTCAGACCTCCTCATGTTTTTTCCAATAAAAATGATTCTACGATTCTGACTGTCCTCAAAACTCTGTACCAAGTGGTTTCATAAAGTGATGCAATGTTTAAAGTTACACAAAATACCAGAAAAATGCTAGTATTAAGCAGCAAAGCACTGAAATAAAAGAACTGACAAAAATGAAGCAGTATAAGCAATTCTCTCTGGTGTGGCTACAATGAGGGCAAAACATGTTATATCACTGTGAAAAAGTATTTTAAACAGGCAAGTTTAGCAGAGTTCTCACAGAGCTTTTACCTTACAGGCTGTAATTCACAGCATTCTCTACAAAGTAAGCATCATGGCTTCCCAGCTGACTGCTTTTACAGACTTTCTGAACACTGAAAGCTATGTCGCAGTATTTATAGTTGCCCCACTTGCATTTGGAACCTCATCATATTTTTGATGCTACAGCCAACGTCCACTACTCTGCTAAACTTCCCTCTCCTTATTTAGTTTTATGTTGCAACTTTTTTTTCCTGTTTAATTTGCATTTTTACATAGAATTCAAGGCATCTCTATATGCAGCGTCAGTCCTATCCCATAAAAGCCTGAGAAGCAAGTCTAGCACTTGGGCTAATTTCAGAGAAAAAGCAAGGCTCTATAATTCATTTTTCTGGGGTACTCTCTAAAAATCAGACTCAGCAAAAGGGGAAGGGAACAGGCAATGGATATTTCCCTATGCAGAATATCAAAACCAATCTTGCTTCTGAGGTTGATTGATCCACTGGTGCTTTGGAAATTATATGGGTATCTCTAAAAAAAACTTCACGGATGAGAACTAGTGGAACATCTAATGAAACCAAGTCTCCAAGATGTATCTGGTCCTTGTTTACCCAACCTCTTACAAGTGCGGATTACCTATAATATGAAATGCTACATGACATCCATGTGTTTTTCTGCTTGAACAGAACTAGACCTGAACTTGACATTTTTCACAAATCTGACCCAAGAATTGAAATCTCTCTCTCATCACATGAAATGTTACCAATTATGAAGCTGAGATGTACTAGTTCGTGAAGGTAAGCCTTTTAAACTCTGCAAAGGAGAAACATGGTATATGTGTTTCTTACATCTGGTAAGAACGTAATATATCTGGAAAATGTAATGAAATTCATATGGTGAAGCTATACTGAACTACCCATAGCACATCTCTCCATCTTTGACACAGAAGAATGGCAGCATCCTCCTTACAGATATACACGACAATTTTATTCTGGATAATACAGGCTCCAGAAAAAGCTGTAAGTGAGCAAAGACTTGGGGACTATATGCATCAGGAATTAAGTCCTACTGAACTTTTAGTCACTCTTCTGTTGGGGAACTCTGACATTAGTTTTAAATAAAATAAAAAATTATTCTGAGCCCATTTATTATTGGTTTTGCACATTTTTCAAAGCTTCAGAACTAGGTAGGAAACTTACCCTCTTGATATCAGTGATCGCACTCACTGAGCTGGGATACTTGAAGTAGTCAGCAAGCATGACAATGAGGTGGTCAGTAATGCTGGCAATTCTCTGGAGCTCCACATCTGTTTCAATCAAATAGGCCAGTGTTTCTGCTCCTTCTACTCGCTCCTCAAGAAGTCTTTCCTTACTACACATTCGAACCAAACATGGCAGAGTCTGAAAAGTTAAAAACCAAAACACAAAAGACACCAACCACCACTGTTTAGTGCACCTGCATTCATAAAGAAGCTCACACACACATATAAAAGAAAAAAACAGCTATCCTAGAGCAATTCTCAACAATGTTCTTGGTGCCTTCAGACAAAAAGATTTTAGAGGTTTTAAGAGGCTACTGACAACCAACTCCTCACACAGTCAAAATTATGCAATGTTTATAAGTGACCAAGGTCAAAGTTCAACAAAAGCTGGGGGAGATGGAGTGGAAAATCCTCTCAAAAGTTCATATTTGCACAGGTTTATTCTTACTAAACACAAGAACCAAAAATACCCGAGATGTTCTCAAGAAGTACGTTACCGCTCCTGCTCTTTTACAACCTAGGATTGACTAAGAACAATGCAGTCAAAAATAATCTCAGGGCTTTCTTGACCCACACTGGCTCCTAGTAGTAGGGAAGAGAGGACCACTCCTAAGTAGTGCATCTGGTCAACCAGAAACGAAGCCCATTTGGAATCCAGGTCCATTCTGCCTTACTCTGACATTACCCCTACACTGGTTACACTCACATGGCAACATTATTGTCATCCCTTCTCTACTTTATATAGTAAAAACAACCAAATCTTTCTTTACCTGAAGCTCAGTGAAAAGCACTTAATACTAGAAAGACCAGTTCTCCAGTGGTTGGGACTCTGTCACTCAAGCCTCACCAAACAGAAGTATGAACATGGATGAAGAGTAACATCAAGGTTTTTGCTTGTGTAACTCCATCAATTTCAACAGAATTACACTAGTAGAAAATGTTTCTCAGAGTTATGTTTTCGGGGACCTGAAATAGTATCTATCCATTGACTGTTCAAGTAATTAAATAGATATCTCTACTCCACAGGTAAGAAGCAGAGTTACAGAACTTGCCTACATTTATTAAAAAACCAGATGCTACCACAAGGATTACCATTTAGGTTGTGAATCTTGCACCTAATCTAGAGAGCCAAAACGCATTCTTCCCTGCATATCTGTCACTTAAGACATCAGATAAGACTTCCAGCCTGAGCAGTTGAAAACTTGTTCTAATAGCACAGACACACCTAAAAGACTTTCTGCTTCCTTAGGAAGTTTTCCAGAACTCTTTAAAAGAGAAGACAGCTGCTGAAGGTTGGTGAATTTAAGCAGCCCTGGGAAATCACCTCATTGCAAAAGTGAGGTTTCTAGGACCTTTGTTCAAAGTTTGCCTTAAAAGCCTTCAGTTCTCTAATTATTACTATACTTTTTAATCTGTAAATTCAGAACTGCACCATAACGATTAAATATCACCAGTTTCAATTACCAAGCTGGCATAAGATATATCAAAAACCTGAGGCTAGCATAAATAAATTAAAGCTGAACATAAGCCCTCAAAAACTGATATTTAGGTTAAGGGGGGAAAAAAAAAAAAAAAAAAAAAAAAAAAAGAAGTGAAAGTCCACATCTAAATCACAAAGATAACCTACTTCCCAATTCTTTCCAAAGTCAAGCATTGTGAAAGCTGGAAAATCATCTGGCTCATGACAGACTCCATGTCTAGATTGTGCAAGCATTCTGACTATAGCCTTATGAAACAAGCTCTTGAAAGACAAACCAGTGCCTTGTTCATATACAGAGACCAAGGCAGTAATGTTGTTCCTTTCCATGGTTATTGAAATGATTACACATCTCAGATGGATATGTGTCAAACTCTGCAATATTTATTCCTGGTTACTGACCTTTTAGTATGTTCTTTTATAAAAACCTCTTTAAAAAGCTATGTCACTTAATGCTTAAAGACATAAAGGGAAACTAGGGAAATAATATATAAAATAAAATAAACACACGAACATGAGAGCTTGGTGCTTTGAAATCTTTGGCATAACAGATTTTGTGCTGCTTCTTATATGGGACAAATAAAACCAGGATAGCCCTATGAGAAAAAACATTTTAAACAGAAAACTGTTTAACAAGCTCACCTTAAGAACGATGCAAGAATCATCTGTCCGTATTGCTCCAGCTCTGCACATGGAAGTAAGGCTGTAAGAACATAACAAAAGATACATTCTGCTATCATTGGGGTTTATGCACTTAAGATGTTGCAGAACAACCAACTGTACTAATGAGATACACTCCGCTTTGCTCTACCATTTATTTAAATACATTTGTGCTTACTAGACTTGAGCACATGAACAAACTAATACAGGTGTATTTTAAAATAGACTTCTAGTACAGGACATCTTGCTGGAGCACCTACCAATACATACAAAAAGGTCTAACATTTCCAAAAAGGTCTAACCATCAAAGTCAATTGATCCACAGATCTCTTTTAGCAACAAAACCCCCCAAAATGAACAAGGTATATTAAAATAAAGCAGCAATATACACAGACCTGTAGGCACACTTATAACAAATCGGGAAAGAATCAATACAGGGCTGGTAGACTGACAGCTTATTCAGAAACCCTGCAAGCTTTCCATTACCTTAGGAGATATGCTATTGTTGCGATGCTTGTCCACAGGCATGCCTTAATGCTCTACGGGAACAAGCACTTCCTTGCTAATGATGAGCCCAACTAAGTCTCTTGACTCTAACCTAAACCACCATTTTTTCTTTATTAGACACCTTAGACAGCAGACATGACAACTCCAAGCTCTCAAACTACAATGCTGACACAAACATCAGAGTAAGTTGCTCTGTTAATTTACCTGTACACCTGCTTGAAGCTACCAGAAACACGAAGTAGCTCACTCATCAATAAAAATGTTTTACATTCAAGTGGTTTATAGTTTCTACCTGCTCTGCTACAAGGAAATACAACAAAGCTGGAGGATAACTACTCTGCATTCACTGCAGGAAGTCAAGTATCTTTTGTTTCAGCTTTGAACTAAACCATTGTAACTGGCTTTTATCATCACACTACAGTTGAGGTTAAAAATATAACCAAATTTCAGTAAAGGTGACTTAAAACTAACATGTTTCAACTCTCAACTGGGCAGGTTAAAAGTGTACATAGAGTCCATTATAATTGCTCAGCTAAGGAGCAGTAATATGCTAACATACTGTAATTGTACTGTTTTTCACTGCATTCCTGAGCTCCTTCCAAGTGCCTAAAGAAAGTTCTTTCACCTCTTAGAAGGTATCATCACTGATCCTGTTCCAAGCAACTATCAGTTGACAGACACTGCTAACATCCCATAATCAAGTCTTTTTATATATTATTTCTCAGAAGATAAAAGGTTTGACTGTTAGCACAGAGATAATTTTATCAACTTTTGCTGTACAAGCCTTGTAGCTAACAGCAGGAACTACTCATTTTCACACCTGAACAATCAGGAGAAAAGCACTTGTCTTGCAGTTGCCATTTAGTCCAGCTAGACCCTATTTGCCAGACAAAGTAGCTCTATTTCAAACATGAGATAACTTAAAGTATTTTTACTTCAGGTAAAATAGGCTTGGCTTAGTTGGAAGCAATTCCAGTAATTTTAGTAGAAAAGGTTACTGCTCTACTTGTAGCTGCAAATCACTCTTCCCAAGAGGTTTACTGTTCTTCACTCTGTGCCAATACTGCTGCTCAACTGAAGGATCATTACTCCATTTCAATCAAGAGGTATTAACTTGAGTCTTCCAGGTCTACTTCAATTGTTGAAAACCAAAGGAAACTTGTTAAGATAGCCTTGTATAGCTTTATACACAAATGCATAAAACACCAGTAGAAGTCTAATTTAAAAGCAGAGAAAAGAGGACCTGTGACAATTTCACCTACTACTCCCATTAGAAAAAAAGAAAAGACAGAGAGTCTGACTTGGAGGGAATCAAGTAGGGAATGGACTTATAGAAGAAAGACCAGTAGGTCTCTGGAAGCCCCCAGGACTGTTGTGAAACTGAGGCCTTGAGTGCCCTTCTAAGAAGGATGACTGCCCATGGACTAATCAGCTTGTCTTCCCTGTCCCTGCAATTTGCTTTTTTCTTTTCATCACATCATTTCTTTCATGCTTCCAAAGGTCCACTTGAGCCAAAATACTGAAAAGCAACAGCACAAGATGGGACTGTCTACCCAACTCTTTCCAATTTGAAGCAGATCAGGAAAGAACACCAACAGACCTGAAAGCATTCATCCCAGAACCTGTAAAAACAACTAACAGATCTAGGAGCATTCCTCCCAGAACAAGGAGACAGCCCAGAGGCAGAACAAGTTGTTTAACTCCAACTTGCCTTCATGACTTAAGAAATAATCTAATAATTCGCTATGTATTCTCCGAATTCTCAAAGAAACATCAATCAGAACTGAGACTGCTACAATGCAGTTAATTTAACTTGCCTTCTTCACTAAGAGCCACTTAAGAAACCTAGCAAAACCAGCTTGCATAGACCAATTGTGGTTAGAAGTGAGCACAGGAGGCTCCTAGATAGATATCCAACATGGAGTGGGATTACCTAACTTCCCCCCCCCCCCATCTTTATAGCTTCTTTCATGAGTGGGTTAAGTCATCATAACTTGGCAACATTACAAAAGAGGCCACCCTATCTACTCTACTTGTTCTTCACAGAGAATCTCAAGACCTTACACCGAGACAAGTGTCAATGAAATTGTTTGGTGAACTGAATCAGGTCAAAAACTAAAACAATAACCAAACGATACATCAGTGTCCAAACTCTTGAATTATGTTTAATTTTAGTAGTTTATAGCAATGGATAGTTTTATGTCTTTAACTGCCTGAAAGAATTTATTCCATTATTATCAACACAATGAAAGGAAAAGGGTCTTAAAGGGAGTCAATTTCCAGCTTATGAAGTGAGTATAACCCTAGTGTTGCTGTTATAGCACTTGATCACGTTTTGTCACAGGGTAGAAAGTCATCATGAATATGAACACAAAGAAATGTACCCACACCAGAAGGGAAAGTTTGATTTGAACTATAAAATTAATTAATAACATTAATGCTGCTGCATGAGCACAAGAAGCTTAAAGAAAAATCTATTTTAATTAAAACAGTTGGGAATAATGCGTAGCCCTGGTCTATCATCATCTTAGTGCAGACAGTTCTCAACAAACCACAGCTCCAGTCACCTGAGTCCTCTGAACAGTGGTGCAACAAGGACTTTAACTTATACTACATGGTGATATTTCAGTACTATAATTTGTAAGGAGTATATACATTATGTAAAGACTATATACATTGAGTATATACATCGTACTGACCACAGCGTATTCAAAGCAAAATCCGATTTATTTGTAAAAACTGCAGTTCAGCTCAAGAAAATCCGTATGTCTGAATATACACTCCTGACAAAACTGTAGCTCAGCAGCCTTTTTTACTGTTTATGTATAGCAAAGTGAAAGTTATGCTATAAAGATCATTAGATCAGAACCACAACTTCAAGGATTTAAATAATGCAAAAAAATAATTATTCCTAAGATTTCAGATCACATTACTATGCAACAAACAAAAAGGAAACAGTTAAAAAGTAAGTATGAAATTGCATACTATTTCATTTTAATTCCTGATGAAAATTACCATTTGGCTGATGTGAGCTGCATTTCAATAGGCTTGTCCCTTTGTAACATCTTCACAAAAATTTGTGGTAACAGTTCTCCATCAACCGACACTGCAAGCAAGGAAAGAGAACTCCAAGTCATTCTAATTCAGCCAGTTAATAAAACGAGTGCCAAATAAGCAACAGCAGCATTATACTTACCATTTACAAGTGTCATTGATACCTGTGGGTTTTCAAAGGCTAGAACTGAGAAGCATTTCAATGCTTGCATTCGAACCTGTGTAAAAACATAATATGTGAAGTATAAATGTAAATGCTAGTTTAAAATTAATTTTATAATATCTAATCACAGCTGCAGTAAAATGTCTTATCAGTAGTAGTGAAATCTTAAGTCAGGAGGAACAGATAAGAGGCTACCTGGCTTCAGAACAAAAGCTTTGTTTGACAACACTTCCATTTACTTTTCAGACAATCTAATGAATACAGCCTCTGCTTCAAAGCAGCAGGAAGCAGATTGTGTATCGAAAAAGCACCAAAAAAAGAATCAAACCCGTAGCTCAAGAGCCCTATTCCTGCCAGAAGGAAGTCAGGGAGGGGTGGGGTGGTAAAGGTTCTAGACAACTAAAGTCTAACTGGAAGTTAACTGTTTTATAAATTATTGCTCTATTAAATACATTAAAATTACTACAGTGACTACTTTGCTAGGAATGGCTACTTAAGGGCAATTAGTTTGTAGTTACATGAGAAAGAGAAGGCAAGCATTTGGGAAAATATGTAAATGTGGTCTTGAAACTGTTACCTATAATGCCACTGTGAAAGCAATGGTGCCTTTGTGTTAGACATCTCACCAGTGGTGAAGATGCACATTCGTAATCATGTAACACATAGGAAAGATACTCATGCAATCAGCTGGCTATGAGACAATCCCAAAACCAAAGGAAAAGGGTTTGTTGAAAAATAACAGGCAATCCTCTTGGCAGACCTAGACAAACTCTTCTCATGGGGACTGAAATCCCATTGTGAGAGTTTCTGCTGTTTACTGTTAAATTCTTATTTGACTGAATATTAAAAGAAGCTGGATAGAAAAGCATGAGAATGAGATGGCTTGAATTCTGCAAAAACGTATCAGTTATACGAGAAGTCTGAGAATGCTTAATTACTGCAGAACACTAAGAAAGCCACTAAAACCACAAGGAAGCTGTTTAATCCCCCAAATATGAAAGTGTATGAAGAGCAGTTCAGTATGTACACCTGGAATTTAAAGGCCTGGCCAAACTAGCAAAGGAGGAAATAGAGAATACTCTACACATCTCTGCAGTAAGGTAGGACTAAATACACATGTATTTTAATACAACCCTATGTATTCTATTGGTGAAAAAACAACTTGAAAACTTTACCTTGCTCCAATTTCTTTATTTTAAAGCAGCTCTCTGATAAAATTAGGGGAAGTTCAAAGCCAAAAAGCTGTTAGAAAAGGTTCCAAGACAAATATAGCTTGGAAAATTCACCTTATGCTACAGGGTAAAAAAGGTCAGCTCATGAGAGAAAGAGCAAAATGTTGCCTGATCATGGTGAAAACGATTTAGTACAGAAAGACAGAAAACAGAAGTTTATCAGTTTCTCTAACAAAATATTGAAGAACACATACTTCCTACTGGATTGATTAAAAAAGGAAAGCAAAACCCCAACCAAACAAAAAGCACCACACATGAGATTAACAATGACGTGGAACAGAACGCTAAATTTCCCTTCACTTTAAGTTCTCCTTTAAAGACTGTTTTTCCTGC